CCCCACGTGAGTCTCAGGACTTCCTGGCCGTACCCATCAATCTCGCCTGGGCAGGCCGTCTGGCTTGGAGGGTTGAGGGTTTAGGGTTTTGGGGTTTAGGGTTTAGGGTTTAGGGCTTTAGGGTTCAGGGTTTAGGGTTCAGGGATTTGTGCTTCAGGTTTTTGGTTTAGGGTCTGGCTTGTAGTTGTAGGGTTGAGGGTTCAGGGGTCCAGGGTTCAGGGTTTAGGGTGTAGGGTTACCGGGTTCAGGGGTTTAAAAAGGGCCTAGGGCTGTAGGGTGCAGGGTTACCGGATTTAGGGGTTCGGGGTTGCATGATTGATACGGGTTCTATGGAGGTTATTACGAGGACTACTATATAGGGTGTTTAGGGCCAAGGGTTCACATAATTTGGGACCCTATTGGGGGTTCCTCAAAGCATAGTGACGGCCTGTTTGGGAGATCCACACAATTGGTTTGGCTGTGGCGAGCTGCACAAGGGTTCTACAAGGGCTCTGTGGGATTGTGCAGGATTCTTTCAGGCTTCTGCGGGTAGTCAACAGTTAATCTAGAAACATGTCAGGTGGGTAGTGAAATACCTTATAGAAGCCTTCTATACCCTAAACTCCCCAGCTGTAGTTTCCTTTAAGTTCATGGCTTCTGCAAGGCCGATCTGGGGATTTCGGCTAGTTTGGGCTTGGGGCTTTAGGCGGGGTCGCTTCTTCGGGCGTGTTGTTCGTCATAAAGTCTATTGTTTCGCCCAAAGGCTCTATGTACCTTTATAGTAGATACTTAGGCCTTAAAGTACCTACATAGGGACCCCTTTAAAATGTAGGTACTTTAAGGCTTAAGTATCTACTGTGAAGGTACATGGAGCCTTTGTTTCGGGGCTTGGTCAAAGGACACAGGCGCTCGGGATGGCTGGCACCCCATGGCTGTGTGCTTGGGGGTTTAGGGTTTAGGGTTTAGGGTTTAGGTTGGGGGTGGTTCAGGGTGTAACAGCGCTGAAAATTGACCGGCACAATGAAGGTTTCAAGCTGGCCGCCCCTAAGGTTTCGGTTTGAGGGGTGCTAAACCCTAACCCTTACCCTAACCCTAAAGCGTTCACAAGAAACTCGTGGTTTGGTTGAGCTTGAACCCGGAACCTTACAAACCCCCTATAACCTTGGAATCCTAAACCCTGAAGCACCAGAAACACTACAAAACCTTCAGCCCTAAGCTCCCCCCGGCCCCCACCCTAAACCCTAAACCCTAAACCCTAAACCCTAAACCCTAAACCCTAAACCCCCCCCCCCTGCCCAGATGAAAGCCGGGGCTCGGAGTTGATGGTGGCCTATTTCCGCGTCGCACCGTTTCTGTGGGGCCCCTCCGTTCGATTTTCGGGGTTCCTGTTTGCGATTCCTTTTCAGTTTAGGGTTTAGGGTAGGTGTTTAGGGTTTAGGGTAGTTTAGGGGTTTAGGTTCCATTAAAAAGAATGGGTTCCTCTGTTTGGGGGTCGACTTTCGGTGTAACCCCTAAAGCCTAAACCCTAAACCCTGGGTTTCTTGTAGACTTCCTGTTGGAGTCCGCTAAGGGTTCCTACTGGAGTTCGGCCAGGGTCCTTGAAGGATTTAGGGGTCAGGGTGAAGGATTTAGGGTTCAGGGGTTTAGGGTTTAGGGTTTAGGGTTTAGGGTTTAGGCACGTTGTAGGGTACATTACATTCTACTCACTCCGACTCGTGAATCCTGGCACATTGAAGGTGGTGCTTGGGCTTGGCCGCTTGGGCTTTCGGCCGTGGGGGTTTGAGGATTTTCGAGGCTGGGGTGAAAGGTTTGGGGCTGCGCGTTCAAGAGGATCCTATCTGTATGCCCATACCGCCGAACAAAATAGAGGCCATCGCCTCCCATGATGAATGAACCCCCTTAGGGCGGAGATGGTGTGCACTTTTGTGGAGTTGGGGTGAGGGAAGCTCGGGGGTCTGTTTGTCTAGGGTGTTTCAGGGTTGGGATTCTTTTGAAGCGAGGCTTTGGGCTTACGGTTTGGGAATCGTTGTCAGTGGTGTGGTACACACAGAGCCCGACCAATCTCAAGCAAGGAATGTAGATCTAATTTAAACGCTTCGCGTCGTCCGCCTCGGCCCGGCCGCAAACAAAGAGGGCCAACGAACTGTTGGTGCCTTGAAGGCGCCGTTGGCGGAGTGGACGAGGGAGGGGGGCCGGGTTGGCCCAAAGGCGCCGGGGAAGGTTTCTGTGGGCTGCCCGGAACAATTTATTGGAGGAGGCGAGACTCCACCGCAGGAGCTTGGGGCTCATTTATGGGTTCACACACAGGCACCCCCCCCTCTCCCCCCCAAAATGTTTTGACCACTTTGGCTGGGGCCGAGGCGAATCATACATGGCCTTTCATTGCCATTGGTCGCACCCTAAACCCTAGGCCCTGAACCGTCTTTCATAGAAGATCCCTACGAAATCATGCCGTGGTATGGCTTCAGGGTTTAGGGTTTTGGTGTCTTCAACCTAACACGCCTCAAACCCGAATCTGCCAGACATCTAAGGCTCCGATGTCATCATATAGTAGATACTTAGGCCTTAAAGTACCTATATAGGGACCCCTTTGAGGCCTAAGTATCTACTATAAACGTACATCGAGCCTTTGGGTAAGGCTCCGATGTCATCATGTCCTTCGTGCCGGGGCTTCTGGAGAAGTCGGTTGAAGCGGGCTTCAACCGGGTCAAGTCCTACATCTCCAGGAGGTGCGCGCTGCTTGGGGATTTTTGTGGCTTCCTCTAGGGCTTCTATAGGTTCCTTTTAGGGCTCCTTGAAGCATACTATAAGGGTCCCCTTACAGGGTTTCCGGATGTAGGGTTTTCGGNNGGGGGGGGGGGGGGGGGGCGATGATGGAGAATTCGGGATTCAAAGTTTGTCTTCAGTGTTCTCGGTCCCGCAGTTGTACCTCGTTACTTGTTTCTGACTTTGTGGTGTCCATACAACTATAGCAAGGGGAGCTGAAAGGTTGTGGGTCCGGTGGTTAGGCCCACACGAACAGGGTTGCCCACTCGGCACCGTGAGCTTTATGGTTGAGTGCGCATAGGTAGTATAGGTTTAGGTCTTGTTTGCTTCTGGCGCTGGAGGTTACTCACAAGAGTTCCAAGGTGTATCTGTGTATGTGCACATACATATCATAGTTGAGAGACATGTCTACTGCGAATGCCGGTGTTGTTTGATCACTTTGTTGATGAGGAGTAAACCCTAAACCCTAAAC